ACCCCCCACCCTCCCCTCCTCCTGTGGCCCTGCCAGCAGGAAAAGCCACAACCCCTGCCCTCCAGGAGCCCACTGACAGGGCTGTAAAGCCATGGAAGCAGATGAGCCCCCGGCGGACACACCTTGGCTGCCCACTAAGCAGGGTTACTCCGCGGGTCCTAGAAAGTCAGCACCCGCTCCGGGACCAGTGGTGTGATGTGCAGGGTCTCGTGCAAAATGAGCATGCGGGCCCCTTGTTCAATTATGAAGGATTTGCAAGGTGGTACCTGCACTGTCACAGGCCAACACAGCTGCCAGTCTGTTTCCTTAAAAACCAGTGAGGGGCGCACGCGTGCTCTGAGAGAGGAAAGACCCGGCGTAGGGTCGCACCAGAGACACAGGCCGTCCTCTGCGAAGGGGGCTAGGGATAGGCACACAGGTGGGTTTATTGGGGCGCTCACGTTAAAGGGAGGAGAACCCAGATTGTGTCAGGAGGAGAGAGGCCCCAAGTTCAAATCCAGGCTCGGCACCTCCCCAGCTTGTGTGGCCTCTGGTGCCCAGGCCTCTGCTCAGTAGTGACACTGATCATGCCTGAGCGTCCTGGCCCTGCTCGGGCGCTAGCTTGTGGCCATAAACAGCGCGCACGGTTCCTGCTCTCCTGGAGCGTACAGTGGGGCAGGGTGCCTGGGAGGTAAATGAGGTGTGTTTGTAAAGCATTTAGCCCAGGGCCTGCGGGAGGCCAGTGAAAACAGACACCCCATTTAGACCATTCGATTCACGGGGCATCAGGGGTTGAGATTGGGGGTGATTTGTAAGTTGATGAGGAATCTCAGGGCTGTTGCCAGCAATTATGGCAAAAGTCCAGCATCTTGGATTCGGGAATCTTGAGTCCCAATTGCTCTTTCCCCCAAGACCCCCCCCTCAAACTCCCCCCCCCCAAAATGGAGTCTCCATGGGTTCTGCAGGAGATCTGCTTGGTCACAGTGGCTCCAGTGCCCCCAGATGCCAGGGCCAGAAGGGATCTCCACCACTTCCTGTGGTTGGCCTCCCAGCCTGGCTTCCTGGGTCCCCTCTGAGCCAGCACTGTGCATGGAGGGTGGAGTGAGCCCTGTCTGGTGAGGCCTGGCCCCTGGGAGCTCCCACTAGCCTGGGGACTCGAGCCCCTGGGACCTTGGTGTGGAGGGGCTGGAGCTCTGCGGTGGCCCTGGGTACTCTGGTATGACTGTGGAGGCCCTGGAGGCCTCCCTGATGGAGGTGGCCTTTGTCTCCAGCACCACTCTATGCTTTGTTGTTTCAGACCCTCTGGTTTGACCTGCAGCAGCGCCTCTCAGATGAAGACGGCACTAACATGGTGAGGGCCCCCTCCCCTGAGGCTTCCCTCCCCCTCCTGTGGCCCCATCCCTGCCTGAACCCGGGACTCAGGATACAGGTGGCTCAATGGCCCTGCCACCCGATCCCCAGGGAGCACATGTGGGGAGATGTGGCCCCAGCCCTTGGTCACCCTCCCCTTCCATGGGTGTTCTTGGAGATACCAGGGCTTTGGTAAAAAAGATTGGCCTGGAACCAAGTGATCAACAGGACAGTGACACCAAAACACTGACGTGATTGGAAATAATGTTGCTGGTCACTGATTTGTTGTGTCTCAGCCCTGGAAGCCTTGCCAGCAGCCCTGCCCCTCCGTAGAGCCTCTTCACACCCTGTTTTTCAGCATTTGTGGGACTGCTACCTGCATTTGGCTCTTTAGAATTCTTGTTCTGTTTCAGCCAGTGTTCGTGTGTAAGAATGGAAGGCGTGTGTGCATGGGGTTTTGTTTTGATCCAGTTGTCCTGTCCTCAGGAGGGAGGTGTGGGAGGCTGGGGTCCTGTGGGGAGAGGCCAGTCAGGGAGCCCGAGGAAGCTCACTCACCCTGCACCCCACAGCATCTGCAGCTGGTCCGGCAGGAGATGGCCGTGTGTCCTGAGCAGCTCAGCGAGTTCCTGGACTCGCTGCGACAGTACCTGCGGGGCACCGCTGGGGGCCAGGAGCTGCTTCCAGTGAGTAAGCTGAGGGCGGGGTGGAGGACAGGGCAGGACCTCCGAGGACAACCCATACCCCCGGGAAGGCCCAGCAGAGCGGGTCAAGTCCTAGCAGAGGCTCTTCCCCACTGTGCAAACGTGGCGAGTGACTTCATCTCCCGGGCCTCAGCTTCCTCATCTGTAGAGTGGGAGCACGGACTGGACTCACTCCCTGTGGTTGTTGGAGGTGTAAATGGAATGAGGAATGGGAAGGGCTTAGGTCAGTGCCTGGTGAGCAGTCGGAGCTGCGTAACGTCAGCTGCTACTCTTACCATTTGGCTGCCCCTCAAGGCCTCACCCTCTGGTCCCTGCTGCCGAGGCCTGCATTGCTTCTCGGCAGAGCTGAACCAGGTGGCCGTGGCCGTGGCCATGTCAGATTGGGCCACAAAAGACGACAGCCCTCTCCCTCACTGGGGATGGTCCCAGAGAACTGTTGGCACAAGTCGCTGGCCCTTTCCTGTCCCAGGCCCACCCATCTGTGCCTGGGAAGTAGCTGTGGCCTCTGTGCCATTCTCTGCCCCGGTCCTCCCTGTCCAGTTTGCCTTCTGCACCCTGAGAGCACGCACCTTCACCCTCTCCCTGGGGGCAGGGGGGCAGCTGGGGCGCAGCGTGAATCAGGCGCTGCTCTTCCTGAACATGCAGTCTAGGTGGCGGGAGAGGGCAGAGGAAGAGGGATGGTTCTGAAGGGTGATGGGTGCTGTGGAGGCCAGGAAGCTGGGTCCCTCGAGAGAAGGAAGGGGCTTTGGGGAGGGGAGAGGCTGTGCATGCACGGAGGCCTGCATCCGGAGCATTCAGACAGCAGAGTCTGAGGAAGGGCAGTGTGGGCCGGAACCAGCGGGTGCCACTGCCTGGGAGGCAGCAAGGGTGCCGAGTTTGAGAACAAGCAGGTCTGTCTGGACTAGGTGACAGGGCGAGGGCCAGGGGTGGCGGGCAGGACCCACTCCCGCGCTGCTCGTCTGGAGTACAGTGGACCGTATTGGAGATGTGCCAGCAGGAGTGAGACACGGGCTGGTCTCTGGTGTGCAGCAGGGGCCAGGGAGAGGCCCTGTGGTCACCCAGGGAGGGGCATGGCCTTGGTGCGACATGGTTAGAGCTGGGAGCTGTTGTGGAGAACAGCGAGGGGGTGTGGAGAGGAGACAAGGTGGAACCTGAGATTGTCTGGCTTCAGAAACTCGATAGAGGTTGGTGTCGTGTAATGACCTAGAGGAGTCAGGGAGGTCAGGCGTGCTGGTGTGGGGGAGTCACGTTAAATTCGAGATGCCGCATAGGAGTGTGGAGATCCTGGGAGAGGCGGGCTGGGAGCGGTGGGCATGCAGATGGCACCGAAAGCCACAGTAGCAGTGTGCTCACGGCAGGGGTCAGAGGGCCCAGGGCTGGGTGGGGTGGAGCGGAGAGGGGCCTGGCTGCTCCTCCTCTGTACACAGGCAGCACGCAGTAGGGCTTCACACTCTGTCCTTCCTGTACCCCATGCCAGCCTGCTGTGTTTTCCTGCCCATCCAGAGACACCCCACTCCCAAAACCCAATCAGTGCCTCATTCTGCTGCAGCTACAGACTTAGATGCACCAAGCTGCTCCGATGACCTTCATCTGTCGCAAAGGCAGGCCCGTAAGCGGCGCTTTCTGGATCTGGCGAAAGGCCATGGCTACATCTGATCAGTGGGCGGCACGCATCCCCGGTCCCCCATGCTCTCATCAAATTACAAGCCCGCAGGCACCTGTAATTTTAGCTGGAGCCTAATGAACTAATGATACTATTAGCGGCCTTGTTTCCCTCCCTGTGTCTGTCCTGGTGGCGAACCTGGGATTGCCTGTAATTATACAGCAGCCGCCACCATGGCAGCTCTCCTCCTGGGCTGCGGGGTTCTGTTCTGCTGAGCGTGGGAAAAGAGAAGCAGCTGGGGGCAGGCGGGAGGCCAGAGGGGAGGTGCTAGCGCTGATGTAATCGTGGCGGTCATCCCTCGGTGCCCCCAGCTCTGCCACATTCTGGGAAGCACCCTCAGTCCTATTTAAATCAAGGTGAGTGGGCTGTTGCCCTCACAGAGGTAATGCGGGAGTGACCTGGGCCTGCAGGACCCCAACCCAGCCTCAGTTGGCCAATTCTGACTCAGAGTTAAGGATTAAATGAAGGAGAGCATGACAGGAGAAAGTGAATATTCAGCCTTTAAAATATTTCGTTATAATTCATTCAACAACATGAATTGGCCACTGTCTGGGGCCAGGCCTTGCCCTGGTGGAGGGACGGGCTGGCCCGCAGGCTCTGGGTTGTTCCCGTTGGAAAGGCAGCAGCACTATGGCTCACGGCCTTGGCGGGTGACAGACTGGGTGCCCAGCTTCTGCCAGGCTCTCAGGGTACCCCGTAGCCTGGCTCTGGGGGCGTCTTGTCCAGGCTCGTTTGAGGGCAGTGGTGGGGGACAGGGATGAGGGAACCGAGTTCCAGAAGATGGCAGCCCAGGCTAATCCTGCCTCCAACCTCGCCCCTCCCCTTGCAGCATCGCCGCTGGGAGGCTGTCGGACGGCTTCACCTTCGTGGTCTACGAGTTCTGGGAGACAGAGGAGGAGTGGAAGAGGTAAGCACGCAGGTCCACTAACGCCAGCCCCAGCCCCTTTCCTTGTCCCAGACAGTGCAGAGGGGAGGGTAATGTGAGCCCAGTTCCAGCAGCACCCACCACCCAGAACGCTGGCCTCATGGGCTTCGTGCGCCCTGGAGCCAGTGGGAGGCAGCACTTCTCAGTGTGGGGTGTGACCCCTTCAGCTGGGTCCTGAATGCAGGTCCCTGGCCCTGGGATCTGAGGCCAAGGCCACTCCTGTTTGAAAACTGCTGCCCCAAGGGATAAAAACCCAGGAAAGCTATCTCATTAACGATGCTCACTGAGGCAAGAAACAGGCTCTTCTGCCCCAAACCTGCCCCTCACTCTCTAGGGCCCCACAGGTCAGCCTTCCTGGGGCCTCGCCTTCTTATCTTCACATGAGGCTAAACCCCACGGCTAAGCCCACATCAGGTGCTTCAGCCTCAAGGGCTCACCAGTGCCCTGTGGGTTACAGGCACCTGCAGAGCCCCGTGTGCAAGGCGTTCCGGCACATCAAGGTGGACACGCTGAGCCAGCCGGAGGCCCTCTCCAGGATCTCGGTGCCAGGTAGAGGGGTGGGGGGAGGCCTGGGATGGCACTGGGGGTGCCCACAGGAGCAGCAGCCTCCGCCAGGCACCGAGGGCTGAGTTCAAGGGCAAGGCCCAAATCTTCCAATGACCCTTTATTCTGCCCCCTTAGCTGCCAGGAATTGTAGTCCACAGATGGGTGCTCAACATCAGTGCCAGGTGTGCAGAGGGTCCGAGAGGTGAGGAGGGCAGGGCAGAGACACAAGTTGGCCCTACAACCTTGGAACAACGGGAGAGGCCGCAGGACAGGGCCTCAGCCAAGACCGGAGGCCGAGGTCACTAGGGCGGTGGGCCCAGAGCCCCCCCAGGCCAGGGCAGGCCCCCACCCACCTTCACAGCCCCACTGACATCCCCTCCACAGGCCTGTGATTCACAGCCCAGCCCGCCCAGCACCCAGAGTGGGCCCGGGGGAAGGAGGAACGTGCTTGCCGGTGCTGCTCTCCTGCCCTTCACTGCAGCCCCCATGGGACACGGGGAAGGGGCTACAGGTCCCCAACAACCTTCCCTGCTTAACCTGTCTCTCCTGCCCCTCACTAGCTGCCTGGTGCACGATGGGCCGAGACTGACCTGCTCCCCAACGCCCTGCGGACGAGCCTGGCACCCTTCCTCTCTTCTTATAAAGGTCGCCCCCTCTTTTCTAGAAACTTTGGATATGAGCGGTCTTTTCCATATACTTCCAAACAAGAATGTATTTTCCCACTGTTCGAAGTGAAGGCAAACCCCCCTCCCCCCGCATCCTCACATCGCCCACCGCACCGGCCTTCTCTGGCCTCACTCCTCGCAGGCCACCCCTCTCCCTCCGTCTCTTCCACTCCTGGTCTACATTCCTCTACCTGGTAGGAGTCAACACCCTGTAGTGCCCAACCTAGGCCTGTGCCAAGTCTGCACACGGCAGTAGAGCCCACGTAGCCAGTGCCATACGAGGCAAACAGCCGCCGCTGGGATAAGCACAAAATAAACTCCCGTTGGGAACCGTCACGTGCTGTGTTTCTGCTTCCTGTTTCCTAGTTGATAACAGCTGGAGGAGTGAAGCCACTGGGGTGCATGGGGCCCTCATGAGCCATGACACCTGGACCAAGTCACCCTGAGACTCAATTTTCTTATCTGCAAAATAGAGGCACTAACCCTATTTTGACAAATAAGTCTGTGCCCGGCACCAAGTTCAGGGTCCTCAGACCATCCCCAGTGTCAGCCGTTCATTAGGACTGAACTCATCGAAGCCATGAGACCACGATCACAGATGATGGCAACAAAGGGAAGCGTCAGACACCAGGGACAGGTCCGGGAGACGCCAGGCGCAGAGCCCACACTTACGTCCTCCCAGTGGCAGGTATAGAAAGCGACTTTCTCCCTCACTAACGGGCGACAGAGTTTCACAGAGCATTGCCAACCAGGGTGCTCACGGACCTCGGTGATGGGAGTTCATTGGGCCCAGCCCCTCTGAAGGTCGGGCTGATGGCACAAGGCCCCAGAGGTCACCTCCCAGGAGCTGGGCACAAAGGCCAGACCTCAGGGCACAGTTAATCGGGCACACCTGTCCATCTGCTCTTCCAACAAGACATGACGTGAGATGACAGTTAAGTCCTATTCTGGAACCTTTGTGACATCCCTGCTTCTATTTCCCTGTCCTGGGTATCAGGAAAGACATCATACACAATCTCAAGGCGCAAAGGAGGCAGAATGGAGAGCAGGCAGGTGGGGGACAGCCACTAAGAGCAGCAGAGGCTGGGGAGGAGGAGGAGGAGGAAGGAGACAGGCCTTAACCTGGTAGCGGAGAGTTGGGCCCAGTGGGAGCCCTGGGGAGGCGGGACCACGGATGTGCGTCTTTCCACCTCCTGCTCCAGCCTGGAGCAGCCAGCCTGTGAAACGTGCTGTGATTAAAGCCATCACACTGGGCGAGGTCCCTGCCCACGCTGCCTCCTCTGGCTGCCTGGAACCTTGACGCCCCTGCCACCTCCTCATAAGGTTTGATGCCGACGGCTCACTCAATAGCAGTAACACAAAGCACAACACGGGCTTGTAGGAAGAGTGAAATGCAAATTCGGGTCCCAGCGGTGCATCTCTGAGCCAACTTTCCTGGCAACCAGCCTCTCAGAGCCTCTCGTCCTCATCTGTGAAGTGGGGAGAAGACCCCTATGACGATAAGGAACTGCCTTACTCGTGAGAAGGCCACTGCACTGGGCCCTGCTGGCGGCATCGGCAGGCATAACAGCTGCCCCAGCCCACCTCACCCAGAAGCTGGGACTGTTCCAATCAGCTCAGCTATTTAAAAAGTACTATTCACAGGGGGGCTGAGGCTCTTCGGGGTGCAGCTGAGGAACACTGCCAGCTGGGCATGCTCCACTTCCACACATCACACCGCCCGCCCGAACTCTCCCCACATTGTAGCATCTCTGCTGATTGCAGCCCACAAGCAACTTAGAGCCTCCTCGATTCCGAGTGGGTGGAAACGGGCTCTGAAGAGAACAAATTTCAACCCTAAAAGGTATGAGAGCTCCCACTTAATTTACACTATGGAGTGAGGCACTTGGGAGGCAGTGACTCCCTCAGCGCTGCCTACGCCATCCTATGATCAGCAGGTGAGGAAATGGAGACAGAGAGGGCAAGTCACTCACAGAGGTCACACAGCCGGTGGGTCACTTATATCCAAACCCAGAGCTATCTGTCCCCAGCCATATATCCTCACCCCTGCACCACACAACATAGATATGTGGGGAGAAACAACTCCAGATGCGAACATTAAAATCCCAATCGGCTTCTTCAAAGACCATTACCATATGACCCAGCAGGTCCACTCCTAGGTATGTCTGTATGTACGGTACCCAAGGGAATTGAAAAGACGCATTAAAGCAAATGTGCACGAATGTTCCTGGCAGCACTATTCCCAACAACCAAAAGGTGGAAGCAACCCGGATGCCTACAACTGCAGGAGGAGAAACGGAACGTGCTCGATCCACACAATGGAATGTTACTCAGCCACGAAGAGGAAGGAAGCTCTGACACACTGCAACACAGATGAGCCTTGGGAACATTCTAAGTGAAAGGAACTGGACACCCCATTCATACAAAATGTCTAGAAGACTTAAACCGATAGAAGCAGACTCCCGGTTGCAGGGGCTGGGGGAAGAGGAAGCAGGGCGTGACTGCTAATGGGCACGTGGCTTTGGGATGGTGCAAATGTTTTGGAACTAGACACAGGTGGTGGTTACACAACATTGTGGATGTACTAAATGCCACTGCATGGTACACTAAAGCGGTTAATTCTATGTTACATGAATCTCATCTCAACAAAAAAAGTCCCAATCAACTCACCTGCCCAGAGAAGTTTACCACCTGCATTCAGTGGCCGCTCCGCACCCTTCCCACGTCCAGGTCAAACCCCTGACCTTCCTCGGGAGGCACGAGGCAATCCTGAGTGGGAGGTGGGCAGTCCGGGCGCTCGGGGCCAGCAGTACCCCAGGCTGCGTCCCTGTGCAGTTACCTGGGGCACCTGGGCCAGTGGGAAGGTGCTTCCCCAGGAGCCTCGGGGCCCTACAGCCCATGTCTTTCCTAGAGAACTAGTCACCTAGACTACAAAACGCCCCTCGGCCACGTTCACATTCGTTTTGAGACATGGAGGTCTCTCCACTCAAGCACAGCTGTGACCACTGACCAGGAACTTGTGACAGGCCAGGCTCTGTGCCATGGGCTTTGCAGGCAAATCCCAGCTCCCCTCATGGCCATCAAGGGCAGGTGTCGGAGGAGAATGAAGAGGACCTCAACCGAGGTTCCGGAAGGAAGAAGGGGAGGGGGGCTGCTCACCGGGGACTGCGGGAGAATGCCCAGGCTAAGAAGAGGGGGACAGGCCTGGAAAGGGGCGGGCAGGCAGGCAGCTCAGCTCTTAGGCTCGGAGCCCATGCGTGATGCCCCTTCAGCCCTTCCTTCACCTGGCGGCTGTTGGAAACTTGAGGGCACCACTTCGTATTGGAGCAGGACAGTCCACGGGAGAGCGCGTACCTTCCTTTCCTGGGTCCGACATCAGAGGGTGACATCCCAGCGTGCGTTTCTTTGACTGCATTATGATGGCTGATTTGAGGCTCAATCCTCTGAGGGTCACATCTGCACCTGTCACAGAAGGAGAAACGATTGTCCCCAGTGGTGATGTTTGTCGCCCCTTAAACAGCATCACCTCATCTCTGTAGCATTTAATGTCAGGCCACTTCCTTCCTGATGTGCTTTCCTGCTTCTGGGTGAACTTAGTGTCCTCATGTTTCCCCTTTTCCCTTGGCTGCCAGGAGGCTCAGTGTTTACTTGCCAATGTCAACGTAGGTTTTCTGGAAATAAAACTATTGTTTGGCTTCCCCACTAGCTGCTGTGGATACGGTATCACCTTTAGTCCTCCCCGTAAGCCCACAGTGCATCATATACAATAAGCCTGTTCCATTTTGCTGGTGGAGAAACTGATTCTTAGGTTTGTGAACTCCCAAATCTTGAGATATCAAATGTTTAAAAAGTAGTAGTCTAACTCCACAGCCAGTTCATACACGGGCACAGCCCTTACCCCATCCTGCTTTGTTCTCTATGGCTCTGTGAGTGGCCCCAGCACGGCCCCAGCCGTGTGGCCAGCACTGAGGCACTTTCAGGAAGCACGCAGGGTACAACCAGTAAGCGACTGACTATTCTCACTGCCAGCACTGGGAGGAGAAATGCTCCTTTAAGCAATTCTGCCCTGACACGTGTCCTTGTCCGGGAGGACACCGTGGCCAATGAACACAGGCTGTGGCAGGGCGAGGGGGGATGGGCGAGGGGGGATGGGCACAGGGTCCTGTGTCCCCCTCCCTGCGTCAGAGTCTCCACCAGCAGCCAGAGCGGAGGAGGGCAGAGGGTCCACCCCTGCCCCCTTGGCCCCTCGAGGAGGAGTGTGAAGTGGAAAGGAAACGGATGAGGGAATTTAACCCCAAACTGGTCCCGACTCTAACTCTGTACCTTCAGGACAAGCAGCCTTGACTTTTCCAAGCCTCAGTTGCCTCACCTGTGAAATGGACAGGTTTGAAAACGTTATGCTAAGTCAAAGAAGCCAAACACAAAGGCCAAATAGTGCACAAGTCCATTGCATGAGGCGGCCAGACAGAAATCCGTGGAGACAGAGAGCAGATCTGTGGTTATCAGGGACTTGGGGTGGGGGGGGGAGGGGAGAGTGGCTGCTGATGGTGCAGGGTTTCTGAGGGGTGATGGATTAGAATTAGACGTCAGTGATGGCTACATGACTCTGTGCGTCAATTAACACCCACTGAATTCTACACTTTAAAAGGGTGAATATTTTGGTATGTGAATTATATCTCAAAAAAATTAATGCAGGTGGACAAGCTGGAAAAACACAAAAAACTGTTCTGTCACCACCACCCTCTCATGGTCACATACACATTGCAGAGCACAGAGAACCTACCCTGCAGGAGGTGTCCTGGGCCGTCAGCCCCGCACTGCCGGCTTCTGTCGGACGTCCAAGGGGGAGGAGTGGGCCTGTGCAGGGTCAGCGCCTGGGGGAGCCGTTGGACCTCCCCACGCCCCCCCCCCCGCCCCAGAGTGGGCCTGTGCAGGGTCAGCGCCTGGGGGAGCCGTTGGACCTCCCCACGCCCCCCCCCCCCATTTCCTTTTCCCGGCCTGGGCCCAGGGGAGGCCCTGTGATCTCTCCCAAAAGTGGGCTGGGGTCGGAAGGGAACTATGAGCAAACAGTCCGCTTGGCTTGTAGGCCCTTCAGGTCCAGCCAGTGGAGGAAAGGGGGCTCTCCTCGGGATACCCCACTGGAGCGTGGGCCAGGTGCAGGGTTGTGTGGCCAGTTCTGGGCATTCACCACCTTGGGCATCTCCCACATTCCCTGTGCCCTGGCCGAGGACCAGCCTGAGTCCACCTCCATGTCCAGTGGATGCCACTGGAAATCCCTTTTGGGGCTCTGTGTGTGCTACCCTCACCCCATGTCTTTGATCCTGGTGCCACAAAGCAGGGCTCTCTGGGCCTCAGCCCCCTGAATTGAATTGTGTACCCCAGAAATATTAAGTCCTATCCCTGGAACCTGTGAATGTGACCTTATTTGAAAACAGAATCTTTGCAGACCATAATTAAGTAACTTCAGATGAATTAGGGTGGCCCTAATCCCATGACAGCATCCTTATAAGAGGAGGGAAATTTGGACACAGACACAGAGGGGGAAGAAGGCCATGCAGAGAGGAAAGCAGAGAGAGAGAGAGATGCGTCTACAAGCCAAGGACTGCCGGCAACCCCTGGAGCCGGAAGCGGCAGGAAGGATCCCCCCCTGGAGCCTTCAGAGGGAGCTTGGCCCTGCCCACACCTTGGCCTCTGGACTATGAGAGAATAAATGCCACCAGCCTGTGGTCACTTGTTAGGGCAGCCCCCGGAGACAAGCACCCCCCTCACCATCGCACCAGAGACCCTCAACAAGCAGAAGCCCCAATGAGCACCTGAGAAGGCAGAGGTACCAGTTTCTCCAGCATCTTTATGATGGGGTTACATTGGTCTCATGCGGGGACCAGGGTGGCCCAGGGAAGCCCCCCGCCTGCCAGGGTGGCCGCCCCTCATAGGAGCTCCAAGAGGGCTGCCACCGTGCTCTGCCCAAAGATGAAGGTGCCGACGAGCACGGACACTACTCCCCAGACCTCCAAGCAGCACCTGCCAAGTCAACAAAGCCACGTCAGCACGCACGTCTCGGGAGTTTGGCGCAGACAAGCCACGCACACAGAGAAACATTATTTGAAGCCCAGTAGAGTCATGGATTTGGGAAAAAAAGTCAGGGTATCCCTCCCCTACCTGTAGGGATGGGTTTCTGAAACAAGAGGAAAGAAAGAACCTGAGGCAATTAAAAAACCGCCACCTGTCTCTCATAACCTCAATCCTGTTCAACTTTTTGCCAAAGCCAAAGAAATGAGAGGAGGGAGACACTAGTCTCAAACTCCCTGTCCACCCCTGTTCCTTTTGGGGTGGGAGGGGCGAAGCCCCCCAAAATAAGGGAGACGAAGAAAGCCCTATGTCACACAGGATCGTAACAGTGGCGAGGGGATGAGCATGCAGGAGGCAGAGGTGGCTAGAACCGGCTGCCACCAAGGCCACATCTCGAGCTTCATAATGTAACCAAAAGAGACGGCACAACAGTGAGATGAGAACGGTGATAATAAGATCTCCACACAATGGCAGGGCCGCCAGAGATATTTCTGGCCCCATTAACAAAGGCCACGAGGACCCGTTGTCATGGAAAGACCATCTCTAGTCAAGCAGCATCTCAGAACAGCCATTTGGTGCCATAAACATCCACCCATCGGAGCGGGAGAGGGAGGTGATGGTGACGGGGCGCAGCGCTCTCAGAGCAGCTCTGATGGGTCAGAAGGCCCTAAACAGTTCCAGAATTAAAAACATGGTGAAAGCCCATCACTAACCGAGGCACAAAACAAAAGCAGCAGGACTTCAAAGGGCGCGACAGGGAAGGGCCGTGCAGGGGCCACAGACCATCGGCCAGCCCTAAGCCCAGGCAGGTGTAGGCACATCCAGAAAAGCCCTTCTCCACCCAGAAGGAGACAAGCCGAGCCGAGGCTTTGGGAGCCAAGCTTGGGGAGTGGGAGACAGAGCCCGGCCTGCAGGTGGGACCCAAGGCCATGGCTGCTATGACGTGAGCGTCTGCACTGGGCTGAATGGTGGTCCCCAAATTCACATCTACCTGGAACCTGTGAATGCGACCTAGGGTCTTTGTCAGGAAGACCCCGAGTCCACATAAAGCTCCAGCCACACACCACAACCCTCAGAGCCGAAGGGAAAGCTAACAGGCCATGTGCTGCTGGCCTGGGTTCGAGTCCTGGCCCAGACTCCCTCTGCCTGTGTGCACACGGCCCGACACCCCCATGGCTAACAGTTTTCTCATCTGCAAGACGATGGGTCTCCCTGCAGCACTCACATGCTCCTCACGCAGGCCCCTTCCAACGCCCATGGTGCACCCTCACGGGGAGACACTTACTTGGCTCGTGGTCCTACGGGCTCAGTACCGATGGCACAGATGAGGCACAGACCTGCAAAGGAGACGGGGTCCCGGCTCTTCATTACGGAACCTAAAGCAGCCCTGAGCTCTCAGAGCTCAGCCAACACCCAGCAGAGACCCGAGAGGCCAGCTAAACCGTTGCTCGAGGCCCCCGGCTCACCCTGCTCGGGGCGAGGGGCACAGTGCAGTGGCTGAGGCCTGCTGTGCGTCCCAGCTCAACATCTCCCCGAACCCTGGGCCCCTGAGCCTCCTCACAGATGATACTGACGCACAGCTGCGTGTCAGGGTCTCTGTGAGATGCTCGGCCACACGCGGGTCGACACCTGGGATCAGTTCAACAACTGGCAGCTTTTCCTTCCTTTCTCTCCTTTTTCTTTTTCTTTTTTTTTAAATAATTCTGCTGGGATTTGAAGCCAGACAGCTCTGCCTAACGCTCCATGGCACGTCCCCATCCCAAACCTGTCCCCGCCAGTCCTTCCCAGCACGAGAAATAGCTGGAGCTAATGGCACCACCAGGTCATGGGCACCGAGGCCGACGCATGCATCTTTCAGACCCAAATGAGCATGACTGCGGCAGCAGCTGGACCAGGAGGCCAAGGGGGCGCGCTGACCACAGCACTGTCATCTGAAAGCGCTTCCCAGAGCCGGGGCAGCGTGGGCTGGGTTTCTGCCCTGAGACCGCAGCACCTCCAGGGCTCCTCCTTGTGGGCAGAAGGGCTTTAAGGTGATGCCAGTGTGGCCCGGAGGCCTTGGCCTCCACGGTTCACCCTCAGGACATTTCACTAACATTGGGAAGGTTTCCTAAGAAATTGTCAGGAACTGTGCCTTCCAGGTCGGGGGATAAGGTGGGACAACGATTGCAAGGGTGCCTTTGAACCTTATGAATGTCATGTAATTGAAAACATTTCTAAGAAATAAAAGTCCTGCAACGAGTGGCAGCCGTGGGAGGTGGACTTGGGCCTGCTACATGCTCGCCATGTCACCGGGAGGCCCCGGGCCTCGGTCCCCATCTGCAGTGGGAGTAACGGAGCCCCCGTCAGGAGGTCAGGAGTGTCGAGGGCACAGAGCTGTCTAATGAGGGACGGTCTATAAAGCCGCCAGCCCACGCCTGGCCTGGAAACAGGGCTGGGAACCATCCTGTCTACACAGGGCTCCCGCCTCGACCCCTGACCCCCAACACAGGGACTCTCTGCTGAGAGAAGCGGGGACGGGGGGTGCAGGGGGGCAGACAACAAGCAGGCAGGAGGCCCGGGAAGCGGCACCTCACCTGGGAAGATGAAGATGAAGAAGGAACTGATGCCACCGATGATGCCGATGATCTCGCTGAGGTCCGGCAGGAACAGGGCCATGGCGAGCGTCACGGTGACCCACAGGACGGTCAGCAGCCCCGAGGGGTTGGCCAGGGCCCTGGGCCCACACTCCTGGCAACAGCTCCTCCTCCAGAAATCCTGCATCACCGACCTGGAGGCCACGCCAGCACAGGCACACACGGCTCCGGACTCCAGCCCTCTCACCTGCCTGCCTTCGGGCGCCCTAGAGGCCCCGCCCCCTGCCCTGCACACCTGGCAGGGCTCCGGTTCCACACCAGGGGCTGTTATTCCCCAGGCACCGCACCGGCAGCGAGGGGCCACGCAGTGGGTGGGCAAGGGCCGGCTGGAGACCAGGCTCCAGTGCTGACGCCGCTCCCTGTTGAGGCTGGGCCAGTGACCTAATTACCTGACCCGCTTACTCCTCTATGAAGCAGAGATGACGGCCGTCCCACCACACACCGGCTAGCAGTGCCTGGCACGGCTAAACCATGGTCAGTATCAGTGCCCTGCGCTGAGCACACCCCACCCCGAGCCAGCTCACCTCCCCAGGAAGAGCACAATGGGGTAGACGGTCACAATGGAGATGGCGAAGAGGACTCGGGCCACGATGATGACCTCGTCGTCACCCGGGTAGGACATCAGGATGTCCGCAGAGACTTCAGTCCCGAAGGTCAGGAAGCCATAAACGCCTGGGCGGGAGGGCGGTGGGGCAGGGAGCTGATGAGAAAATGCTGCGCCCCTCCCAACTCTGACACACCCACCGGCTTCTACCACCTGTAAGGCTTTTCCTAGGAGCCGACAGAAGGTTCTGGAAGAGTTCTCTGTTCTGCCATTTCCCAAGGTGTTCCTGTCCTCAGCCTACGGGAGACTCTGTTCCTCTGACTCAAAACTCCCACTGGGCAAAGCTGTCGGAACGCTTCTTCCAAATAGCTCACCAGGGCCTGTTCATGGAGTGGGCACTGCAGGGGCACACAGCGCTCTGCAAACGGTATCAGTGCCTTCATGCCCGTCATCCCACTCCGACAGCACCCACAGAAAGCCATTGGCAGTGCACCCATTTTCCTGATGGGGAAGACCAAGACCCAAGGTGTCAACAATTGCCAGAATCACACAGCACAGAACTGCGTACAGCGCACCAGGCCCCTTGCCTGCAACCCAATGCTGCCTCTCACGGCCTAGTTAACTGCCCTGCCCTGAGACACCCATCTCTGGCCAAGAGCTATGGCTCACTTTAGTCTCATGATCCTACTGGCCCTCGACCTGAGCCACCTGGATGTGACTCTCAGTGACCAGGTCATGGCCCTCCTACGCAGGGGCCACAGCCTGACAGGGACCCCCCCCACCCCGGCCGCTTGGGGAGAGGTCGCCCAGAAAGTTTTTTGAAACCATGGTGTCCAAGGCACCTGGCACATTCTCTGCAGCCCCAGAGCTTCCCAAGCCAGAGGTCCCCACAGGCAGACGAAAAAGCCAGCCTCGGGGCTGGAGGAAGGCGCCCCAAAGTCAGCCTGAGCCTGGACCTGGGCTGTGCCGTGCGCATGCAGTGACCTGGGCAGATCACAGCCCCTCTCTGAGCCACACTGCCGTCACCTCTGAAGACCCTCTGCGTACAGCACAGGTTTGTGAGCGCCCGCATCCATCGAATCCATGAGAGCACTTTGCAAACGGCTACCCAGGTGTAATGCGATGATGACCATTGTATCACTGTCCCATCAGGCAGCAGCAAGCTGGAGCACAGAGCAGGGAGGGGCTGTGGAGACAGCTGGACCAGGGTTAGGGTCACAGCTTTGCCATGTGGAGTTTGGAGACCTTGGCCAACCCATGACCCTGCAGGCCCTGGACCTTCTGAGCCTCAGTTTGCTCATCTATGAAATGGGGCCTTTCCTAGGGGGTGTTAAGGACTTAATGAGAGAAGGCACCCGAACTGCATAGTGCTGAGCTTTGCACACTGTAAGCTCTCTATACATACTCGTCATGATTGCCATTTCTCCTGCCAATCCCTACCCGGGTGCCCCAGGCAGGGCCTTACCTGTCAGCGAGTAGACAAGGCAGCAGGCCAGCAAGGACAGCACAGAGACCAGGGCCCAGTGGGACAGGCTCCGGTTGCGCATGCTGCAGTAGATGGAGACAGCAGCTTCGTGACACTAGAAGACAGGTGGGCGCAGTCGGTGGCTGGGCATTAGACTCACCCAGAACAATCTCAAAAGTGTCCCAAAATACAGGAAACCACCGAACGTCCACCAGCAGTAAAAGGCTTAAGTAAACCACTAGATAGTCATTTGGTGGAATATTACATGGCAATGAAAAAGGATGTACACACTATGCACCTCAACAAGAAAGAACCTCACAGCTTTAATGTTTTTGCAAAGGAAGCCAGACACGAAAGAACGTTTTCCTGTACGTGAAGTTCAAAATACAAGCCAAACCAGCCCAAACAGGGGCCATCCAGGGCATCATAGGATATTGAGCAGCATCCCTGACCTCAACCCACTAGATGCCAGGAACACCTGCCCCCAGTGTTACAACCAAAAATGTCTCCAGACAATCCCAAATTTCCACTGGGGGAGGGGGGCACAGTCACCCCATTGAGAACCACCACTTATGGTGACACAAGGCAGAACAGTGTGTGGGTGGGGTGGATGTCACTCGGTGGAAAATGTCACGAGGGAGCCTTCCATAGGAGCTGACAGTGTTCTCTGTCCTGACTGGGTGGTGGCTGCATGGGAGCACACATACTTGTGATTCATATATTTTGTATTATGAAATTCGTGCACTCGGGGGGTAGGGGGTTGGGGGGGGCCCTCAGCCTGGCCTGCTCCCTCTCACAGTCCAGGAGCCCTCAGGGGATGTCCAACTGATGTAGGGAGTGGGCCTAAGCCATCAGTCGGATATCCTTAGCACTGCTGCAGAGGCAGGAGAGGCTCTCACCACCACCGCTGCACTGGCCAGCTGTGAGCCCGGCTTCTGGCTGAGCAGTGCTCCCACACTGACTACCAGGGGGCAGCTCCTGCATTGAGTGTCTGCCCCCTGGTGGCCAGTGTGCATCATAGCGACCGGTGGTTCAGCTGTTTGGTCAATTTGCATATTAGCCTTTTATTATATAGGATTGTCATGAATTTAAAGTACATCTAACCCATGCAAGAGCCCACCTGTGCCGGGGGTGCTGTTTCCCTGGGGGAGTCCTGGGCAGTGGTGCCTTACAGGCAGCCAGGAGGCCCTGACGCGCAGGCAGGGCTGAGAGGCGCCGCTGTATCTGGATGTGCCCTGTGGGTTTGGGACCTTCCCAGGCTCCTGGGTCAGGGTTCCCACTGTCACGTCACATGCTCGCTCACGTCTGGTCAAAACCAAACGTGCTGATCTACTCCTGCCCTCTCTCCAGGCCCGGGCCCACTCCTCTCCCTCACTGAGCAAGGCCCACCTGTCCTTCTGCGCGGCCGCAGGCCCTTTTCTCGAGCCGTTTCCTCTCCCTGGGATTCTCTCCTGGCCTGGCAGCTCCTTCTCATGCCTTAGGAAAGCCTCCCAGCCAGGCCAAGTTCCTCTCTCATGTGTCCCCTCCACCCCCACAGCCAAGTTCCTCTCTCATG